GGGGGATACCATTGGGGGGGGGGGCTGGGAACGCAGAGCGCAGGACCATATATTCCCTTATTCCCTACTTTAACACCAACAAATACACTACTATAATGTAGTAGTTTTCCATTTCCTTTCCATTCTTCCCTATATAACCCCAATATATACTCTATTATGCTATAGTAGTTTCCATTTTCTTTTCCATTAGTCCCAATATAAGATTCTCTCAACCTTGGGGGACAGGCCAGCTTTGGGGTTTGGGCTTTGTCATACATTGGGGGTTTCCCAAAATTGGGGGTACCTTTTCGGGGGTCCCCCCTTGGTAGACTTATAGTATTCTGGGGTCTATGTTGGGGTCACCTCATTTTGGGGAAGTGCCAAAATCCAAAACAAAACGATATGATTGTAGCGTCCATTTCATCTTCCATTTTCTTTTATATCTGATTCTCCATTAAGTACCACATTTGCCTTTGAGGGGCCGGAACCAACAGCCTGAACAGGTTCGCAAGCTCGAGGATCAGGCGTGGAAGCAAAGCAAGCAGTGATGTAGCAAGTAACCAAGTGATGCCAGATATATATATATATGTATATGTATATGTATATAGATATATACATACACTATATTAAATTATTTCATACTAGGTTATCTTATCTTATATCATGTTGTATTATACTATATTGTATTATGTATGTGGCGGGCTTTGAGTAGCAGGCTGTCAGTTGGGGGTTGGCGGTTTCCAAAAAGTAGGGCTTCTTGCAGTCCTATGCTACCCGAAGCGCAGATCCGTCTTTGACATGTCCCTGCCGATGGTGCTAAAAGCAGTTGCGCTTGGGAACATCATGGTCCATCTATTTCCCCCCTTATCCTCCAAAAACCTTATGTAGCCCCACCTACCCTAAATGTGCCATGGCAACAGCTGCTCTACTCAGCTAGTGCTGATTCTTGTAGATGCACTGGTCATGCTGGCACTGATGAGCATCCTGCCTTGCTGATGACTTGTCGTCCTTCCCTGGATGATATCATTTTTCCAGATTTCTTATCTTCATTGATTTTCCACTGGCGGGATACGTTGGTTTATACCAACATGATTCTTGTATGCGCTGCAGGTGCCTGATCATGTTTTACGGATCACTGGAAAACCCTACAGCCCCAACATGATTCTTCCTGTGCAATCCCTCCTGCCTTCAGCCACCTGCAACCCGTGCCCAATCGCTATGCAGACCCTCAACCCCACATACTTTGAAGCTACATAGGAAAACCCAAGTTTCAGCCACTTGATATCCTATAGCCACTTGAAATGATGATCGCAGCTGACACTAGCATATCATGAGATATTTACCTAGTATCTAGCTTTGAAGGGAGGCCAAAATCGAGCTTTTGCCAGGTCCAGCAGGAGCGGAGAGCCGCCGAGGCCGCACAACCTTGGCGTTTGCTTGGGCTTCTACGCATGGTTTCCATACATAGAGGATTGCAATACAGACCCCAATGTGTTACATTCTTTGTAGTTTGGGATCCCTGAAGAGGGGCCCGCCAAGTTTGGAAACTCGCAATTTGGGATAACAGCTTTAGCAGGGGGTTTCGGGTTTGGAGCTTTCGGAATCTCATGGGTCCCCCGGTGGAATTCATTGTATACATTTAGGCTTCTAACCAATTGCGCTGGCGGACTCCACATGTTGTGGCATGTTTTGTTGTGGTACCACGAGAAGTGCAACATTTTGCACTCCTCAAAAACGCTGGTGAGGGTAACATTGTTGGTAGGGGTTGAAGCTGCAGTAGTGGCACTACAGTAGCAGTGCCTTGTTTCTCTATAGCAGTTCCCAATTGGTGGTATTCAGGCACCCATGTATCCTAAGCTGTCAAGATCACGCAGCGCCGCAAAAGATTGAGCATGGATGGCTTGTGGAGTATGGAGCTGCCAGGATCTCCAGTACAAGAATCAGAGCTTGGTGCAGGCTCGGCCAAAAAATGTGTTTCTCTTTCGATCTGACTGTGTTTGTGGGAGTTTGCGGGGCCAGGAACTCCACCTGCGGAACCGTGAGCTCCAGGCAAACCAAACTGGTCAGCGACTTGTTCCAGTGCAGAGCTTTGACACCAGGAGCAGTCCGAGGAGCTGGCCAAGTTCATCCAGGAGCTTGATGCCGCACTCCTAATTAGTACAATAGTACAACATATATTGGAGTAATGGAAAACAACATGGAAACTATTATCACTATAGTATAATAGGGTAAAAGTTTGGGGAATATAGGTAAAAATGGAAAAGAATCTGGAAACTACTAAGGGGGCGGCCGGCCATTGTGCCTCAGCATGAATACCAAGAAAAAAAACTGCAGACCCAGGCACAGTCCAGGGGCAATATCCCCAGCGTGATCAAGGAGACCCGACAGGCCCCAGCCAGAAGGTTCTAGGGTTGAGGGTTTTCGGGTTTAGGGGTAGTGAGGGGGGGGGGCAACTTTGCAGCAAGGGCTTCAACAAAACTGTGATTCTTCACTTAAAGAACTGGAGAGCGAGAGAGGCGCGGGAAGAGGATCCGGAGAACGTCCAGCTGAAGGCCTGGTCGGCTAGCATAGAAGGATCCCAGGTTGCTTTTCCTTTGTGGCGCATCTAATCTTATTATTATTATTATTGATAGTCTAGTATTATTGTTAGTATACTATAATTGTCATTATGATATTGTTATCATTATAGTCTTACAGCTGCAAGTTAGAGTTGGAATGCTTCACCGAGCTTGACTACATGTCAGTGTTTTTTCCTTGACGCTGAATCATGGCAAACTCCTCCCCCCCTCCCCCCCGCCTCGACATCCCTCGTCTGGCGCCGTTCGCAGAAACCCGCCTATGATATTTGGTAGCTTCCCAATAAAGGGGACCCCCAATATAGACCCCAAAATGGTATAGTCCTTATTATTGGGACCCCCCAAAATGATTCCCCTAATTTGGGGAAACCCCCAATTTGTGCTTCCCAGTGGCCGAACCGAGCCAAGCCGGACTTGTGCCAAAAAGAAAATGGAAACTACCATAGTCTAAGAGGGTATTGGGGTTATATCGGGAATAATGGAAAAGAACATGGAAACCACTATAGTATAATAGCGTGTGTGTATATATACGTGTATATATATATATATATATTTTGGGGTTACATGGGGAATAATGGAAATGAAGCAACGAGCCTATTTGGAGTTCGCGCCTGGTCACTCACGGTCGTTCTCGCAAAGATACAGTCACCATTCTGGCACAGTTACTTTTGCCCAATTCCCATGCAGTTGAAGTTCGGCAAAAATATCAAAAACGAAATCGACGTGCGGCAACAGACCTGCCACTTCATTGCCATGCGTGGATTTTCGAGGTAGTTGCCAGCACTTGAGCCTCCCCTACTGTACCCGTGCTTTGCTGGCAAGTGTGCGTCAAGGGTGTCTTTGGAGAAATCAGACTCCCAGTGCAAGTGCCTTGAAGGAGAAGCTTGCGAAGTCGGAGCAGGGGCCCCGGAGCCAGCGGAGTCGTGGAAGGCTCTTGCACATCGTGTTACCATGTCGAACCGATGGTTTAGGGGCTCATAGGTGGTCACCGACAGGTTTTGATGTCACAAAGAACATATTGCCCCGGCCTGGCCATTCCCTTTCCTTCCATTGAGGCATGCTTGATTGCATGTATAGCGCAGAGCTACACCGTCTATCCTGGCGAGCCCTTCTTTGGCTATCTTTTGAGCTGAGGGCGGACGTGGAACTGCTGCGGCAATGGCAGGATCACTCCCACGGCCAGAGATAGCTCGTGGCCGCACAAGGTGGGAGCTTCGATGAGCGGCATTGCCCAGTAAGTCTCCCTGCGGGCTAGGCCTGAGATTTGCCTCAAGGCAAGTCTCTGCGTTATTGTGACTGGGTCTTGCTACCTCATCCTCAGAGCAGACATCAGACGACTTCAAGTGTAAAGCTGTTGAGAGGAGGGTAATGAGAGACATTGCAGCGGAGTTTCACCTACTTCTGCACAAATTGGCAGAGCGGCAGCAGCAATTTGTAGGTGCCTACATCTCAAGTTCGCCATGCGTGGTTCTCCCAGTGCTTTTACCTGTTCAAGCTATCTCCAAGTCTCCAAGCCTGGGGGGCCACGATGTGGCACGCCTGAGCGGGGCTACGCGCCTTCCGATCTGGTGTTCAAGGCTACTGTTCAACGTGCCTACGACGATGTAGCCCAATGCTATGAGGTTCAAGTCCAACCTTTCTGGTGCTTTCGAGGCCCCTTGCATTTCTTGAGCCTCGGAGGGCATTAGTAATTCAAGCAATTAGTCGTCTGGGGCTTCTGTACACACTGGCTGCTTCTTGTCTCCGCCATGCCTTTGCATTTGGATGTTAGGGCTTGGCTGGGTGGAGATGGTGGGGTTCGGAAGCATGCAGAGGAGAAGCGGCCTTCGTGAGTCCCAAATTCGCAGGCATGCGGACGGGCAGTGTTTCGCCTTGCCATGGCAAGTCCGCAGGATCCGCAGGTCTGCCTAAGCCCATCCATGTTCGCATGGCGGGGCCCAGTGCAAGGTCAGAAAAAAGATACTGCATTCTGAGCTGGCCAGTGGTCATCTTTGTGAGTAGGTCACGCCTTCAGACTTGTACACACTAGCTAGCATCTAAATACACAGCAGCAGTGAAAGGAACCAGGCAAACATCGTGACGGGATATGTTCTCGGGCTGGTCTTAATGTCAAGGGCATGGCAACTGTATCCAACGTTGGCGTGACTTCCATTGACAGGGGCTAAGTGGCAGAGTCAGACTGCCCATGACCGACGCTGATGCGAGTAGTAACTTGTTTTTCAGGCTCTCGATTTGGCGATTCTGCAACTTTTCTTGCAAGTCTGTTTGGCTCGCGCAGGCTTGGCCTTTCGGCCCAGGTTGCACAAATCAGGTACCCTCAAAAGCCGGGCCAAACGCAGAAAGACTTCCGTGCAGAATCCTTACACGTCCGTACATAAACGAGGCACGCCCTAGTGCAGCAGCACACAGCAGCATAGTGAGGAGTGCGCCTCGAGCAGGAGTTGCCCAGGCTGATCACTGCAGCCAGCATGAGACCAGCCAGTCCGCAGCATGAAAGCTGTGTGGCACCTTTGGTGGCTGTTGCGTGGCGGAGGCCTGGCAGGTCCGTGTTGATTCAGCGAAGATGCCTAAAATCTGCATCTTTGTAGCGCAAGAGCTCCTCTTCAACAATTTCTGGTCAAAGGTGATACGTTCACAGGTATCCTCCTACATCTTTCCAGAACCAGGATGCCCACAATGAAAGCCCATAAGCCCTGTTGTGGTGTAGCGCATTGTAGCGCTGGCCATCATCCTTGTGTTTTGAAACTTTGAGGTTCCAAGAGCACCCACGGTGGCTTTGCGCCTTGCTGGAGCCGCGGCGGTGGATTCAGCTTTCAGGAGCTGTTGGGAACTCGAGGGCTTGGGGGTTTGTGACATTTGAGTAGTGGTTGTGTTTCTTTTCTCTTTGGGGTGCTCCCAGCCTCAAAGACAACTAAGACTGTTGACGAGTAATCCGTTTGTTGCACCTGTCACCGGAGAATTCTGACTTGTATGCGTCTTGATCGACAAAAACAGGGCTCGCAGCTGCTAGCCTACGGTCCCTGAACTAGCCAAAGCCTTCCACTACTCGTAAGGTCCTGGTTCGATTCAGGCGTCCCGCTCTGGCTGGCAAGTTCCGTGAATCTTGTGATTTTCTTCTCAAATCCCAGCGTCGGCAGCAGAACGGGAAGTCTGCCCCTACCTTGGTTTGCTCCAGAATCAGCGTCTACATGGGGATTACCATTTCTGATATACTGAAGTGAAATCTTCCCAATGCCAGTGTCCGCAGTAGATGACGTGTATTCTCACCGAGTGGGGTGTCTTAACCCCAGCGCTTGTAGTTATTCAGACTTCGTAGATCACTCTCTGATTGGATTGTGAGGGGAGCAAACTTGTCGCCATATCTTGAGAAAACCTAACCTGAAAATGGGCACATTCACTGCCAGCGTTTCTGGTAGGCGCGCACCAGATGATCAGCTGTCAGCATTGCCTCTCCCGTTCTGCTTCATGCAGGAGTGCTGCGGCGGCTCCAGCCATCAGTCGAACCCAGATTGCTTTGATGCGATCTACACAGAGGTGGCCTGCAACAAGCGTAGAGAGATGAGCGTAGTGTTCTGCTGGAAGCAGTGCTCAGTGTGCCAGGAGTTGTGTTGCGCGGAAGCAGACTGGGATGAGGAGGCAGCTCTCTCAAAGCTAGGTGAACCATGGCACACGTCAGCTGCGTCAACAGCTTATTCGTAGTTTCGCAGCCCGCGAAGAGCAGGGTAGTAGCTCATCACGGATGTAGGACGTATCCATGAGCATGGTGTTTGAAGCCGGTATCTTGGTTTCGACATTGTCGCCTCTGCACAGTGTTGGCAACACGCTCGGCTGCAACTGTCTGACGCCCAACGGCTGGCGGCCGCGCAGGTGCCTTGACAGATGTTCAACCAACGGGTGCGCAAGCAGTGGGTGTGGTTGCAGGGCTTTTCATGAGCTAGTCTTCTGCCGCTGACGTCTGACATGCTCCGCAATGCCACAACAGATATCCTGACAGCCCGCACATTTTTTTGTTTAAAGATATTCCTTTTGGCAAAGGAGATATGCGCCGACGGAAGAACAGGGGAGCCTCTGATGAGTTCGTTGCAGTTTCTGGCAGTGCAAGCATCCAGACCGATGAATGAAAGACGCGCCCAGGTTGCGGACAAACCAAACTGGGCTATGCAGGCGATCCTTTGCACAGTGCGGAGGACCCCAACCTGCCAGGGAATGTGAAGGTATCAGGTCAGCTGGATGCAAGCCCTGTTCGTTCTGGGTGTAGGCAGCATCACCCTCACTGCCAAGTAATAGACGCATATCCATGTGTGCGTTTGCCCCATCTGCGCAGATTGACGCACTGCAGCGTTACATGGAGGACGACATGTTAGAGCCTGAGCACAGACTGGGCTTTTTGCCGGGAAAGGTGTGGCCTGACAGCTCTATTCCTCATCTCAAATATGACAATCTGAAGCAACCAAGGCTCTGTATCTAGACTTGCGTAGATAGTGAAGAAAGCGGCGCCCTTTTGACCTTGGATGCGTTGTGCAGAGAGCATACATCAAACATCAACATGAATGCAAGACAAAGGGTCCTGTCCAGCATTTGGTGAATTCTTTTGCAGTCAGCTCTGCAAGTTCCAGGCAGGCAGAAGTCGTGTCACCTTGTTATTATTGACATGGTCTCGTGACACAATGCACCGGGTAGGACACGAAAGGTGAAAGGGTTGGCTCACGTGCAAGAGCCGGGAAAGGAGGCTCCCGATTTTGTTAAGATCTAAGTAGTGGCGTGTGTCTCCCTGAACGAGTTCGGGCAATGGGCATCTCCTCAATCCCCAATCCCACGGCTTGTTTCGGGACTTTTTTGTTCCTCCGCAGTGCAACACGACACGAAGCTGAAGTTAAAAACAAAAGCCCCCAAAACACGAGCTCCTTGACTGGCGCGATGCCGTCAGCAAGGTAAACAACTGACGAGTTCTGAGCTGATGGCTTTAGTTTGAACTACTTTGGAAGCTCGAAATGGGTCAATCTTGAAGCACTTGCCCGTCCAAAGTAAGACGACTTTGGGGTTCAAGAGCCCAGTTAGAATCTGCATTCCTCCTTTCGTGGCGTGCTCGCTGTGAACAGGCAAGAACGGTAAGATTCCGCCTAATGGCTCCCGGTATGTACAGTACTTGTGCCTGAGATTCTCAGGCTTCTCTACTTGTTCTGCTGCAATGGCTTCCACAACGAGTACTGTTGGGGCCCGGCCATGCCGCAGGCCGGCAGAAGAAGGTTTCCACCGCTTTCCGTCCGTGTGCTGGCATCTATGCAGCAGCTCCATCGTTTAGCATGGATCGGAAGCCAGTGTTTTTTGTGGTGCAGCAGTATGGTTCAATTACAGCAGACACGCTGAAGTGGTTTCTGTCCGTATAGCATGGAATCTGGCTCCGCTCTTTGTTTTCCCACAGGCCCTCTTACCTGATGTGGATGCATGGGAAGGTGCCGGAGCCTCAGTGGGTCAGGAAATAGCTTCAAGATAGTGATTGTGGCAACTAAAGACAATGCCAATTCCAGCGTAATTTGAATCCCTATCCCTATCCCATTCGGAGAAGCCTCATGTGTAGAGGCAGTGTAGAGCTTGGGTGCCTTCTTACGACAGTGCCTGAAGTTCTATTGTCAGTAGCTAGCTCACTGCCGAGGCAGGAGCAGTTGATTCTCATGTTATAGTGCCGTGAGAAATGTGCTTGAAGAACGGGCTTTGATCGTGATGATCCTGAGCCCAGGTCTCAGACATTGTAGCATGGTGAGTGCCTGAGCAGTCTTCATGCGTGAGTGCCAGGTGCACAGTTCGCCTGGGGTTCTAGACGCAGCTGATCTTAAAAGGTGCACGCCGTGCGCTACAGACATGCATTCCCATGAGAGTGGATCCTAATTCGAAAGGGAGCCCATTGGCCAGTATGGGAACAGGTATTCTGAATCTTTTCCACGTGAGAGCAAACGGATCCAGGTATCCGCGCTGTTGCTTTCCGCGACTGCGGGGTATGTTGAAGGCCAGGCAAGAGACTTGAATTCCGACAACCAACAAGTACCGTGCCTGCGTATGAAGCATGCAGCTGGACCCCTTTTGTCTGGCAATTTTGCGGATGGATGTAGAGGTTGCTGCTTGAAATATGCCCTGCTACCGGACGAACTCTGCACAAGAAGGATAACATGCTATTGCCACATTGATGATGGTTTCTTCTGCACTTGCCAGTGAGGTACTTCCTGCCATATAATATACTAGAATGTACTAGAATTTAATATAATATACTACAACAGACTTTAATGTACTATAATATATTATATTATGGTTTCATGTGCTATCATATACTAGCTCTATTCCTGGCCCCATGGCCACTGCTAATTCTGCCATTTCAACACCAGCACCGAGCGCAGGCTCCAATCCCAGTGTGGATGCAGAAGCAAATCAGCAGGCTCGGGTTGAGGAGTTTAGGGTCTAGTGTTTAGGGTTTAGGATTAGGGTATGACATCAGGTAATTCCGTTCCCTTAGTAATAGCCCCCCCTAATATGGTACAATGATATACTTAGGAGTTGATTTTTTTCTGTTTACTGTTAGTGTTATCCTTGTTTATTATGATTATGACCCACTGGCGACTTATACCTACCCATGAATCTTCAAGTGCCATCGTTCACTCCGAGCCTCTTCGTGGTGCTTCAGTGACAGATGCTGTTGCTACCACTTCCTTCAGCAGATTTGGAGCCTAATATTTTGTCCCCCTTAAGTAGATGGAATATGGGGTATATTATTGGGGTTATATAGGGATAACGGAAAAGAACATGGAAACTACTATATTATAACAGTCTATATATTGGGGTTATAGTCCCGCTTAAGTAGATAGAATATGGGGCATATCGGGATCTTCTTATAATATACTCAAAGCCATATTCTATCTACTTAAGGGGGACTAGCGATATGGGAGACCTTCGCAAACGAACAGCGGGCAAACATGTCAACTAGGATTGGGGCACAACTAGAGCCTCAGCATTCACAGACCCCCAAACAAAATACCTCGACCAAGCTGCAGAGTAAAGCAAGAGCTTTGTGAACCAAACACACGACGATCCACTCAGTATGCGGGTTTCCTCCATCACAAGAGCTTTGCGAGTCAAGCAACTGCCATCAGGATAAACTAATGTCCCCAGCAAGTCTTCAAGTTTGTCAACTCAAGGGTAAATGAGGTACTGCAAGAAATTGAGGCCTTTAAGCCAGCTGCAAGCTCGTATTTCTTGCTCCAGTGTGGCGCACGCGAGGCAGCTGCACACTGTGGTTTTGGGCGTAGAAGCGGCAAAGCCACCGCAAGCTTTTAATCCACTTAGTCACAACAACCACATGGCCACAAATTAAAAGCCAATGCTGACTGTAGAGAGCTAAGCTGTTATTTGAATGTCCAACTGTGAACCTATTATTTGGATGTACAAGTGGGGTGCGTACCTGCCACAAGCCAGTTTCCGATTTTGAACTTGGTTCTCTCGCCTAGGCAAAGACGCAAGGCGTCATGATGGTAGTGTTTCCTTTGTCGCGGTCATAAGTTTTCGGCGGTGCTGCTGGGTATTGTACAATTCACCGTGGCGAATGCAGACACGTTTACGCTGCTCACGTTACCAAGCTACCAACTTTGCCTCATTGTCTGTGGGGGAGGTAGAGTAAGATTCCGAAACACCAAAACTCTTGAGCCTTACAGGGATGTTTCTCAAGACAGCCGACTGACCCATCCTGCTCAGGGGGTCTCCTAGAAGTGCGAACAAGATAATCGTAGCGCATGCGCACAGGGACCTTCGCCACATGGCCATGCCCGGGCGCCCGGGAACGCCATGGCCGCCAGAGCCCTAGCAGTGCCCTAGCACAGAGGTTGATACCTGTAGCATCTGATAGCAAAAGATGAGTACTAGGTGCAGCGTAAAAGCGTGCTTGTCAGCAGAGCCCTCTGCTGTGTGTCAGGTCCAAGCAGGCTGGAAGCCAAGCTATGCCTAGCTTAGTCTGGTTTGGTTGTTGACGTCCTTGGACTGCAGTAAGTGTGGCTACATTTGCTGTGGACAGTCCTGTGTTGATGACACATCATGCTGCGAGAATTGTACGATGGTAGGGTTTGTGCTCTGTGTGGCTTTGTCATCCATCCAAGCTCTGCAGTTCACTGTACCTCAGGACGTGCAGCATTTCACTGGCTCTGTCGCCCTGCAGGCAGTTTTCTCTGGATCCTGCTTTCAGACAAATTATGTGAGACGTGAATGTGGTTTTGGTCCAAGTCATGGAGCCCTTCGTTGATTTGTCATTCCTTCTTGCGTCCCCTCGCCGAAAGAAATTCTTACGTCCCCCACTCTTTGTTCCGATCTTTCTTTCCTCCATCCTGGCAGGAGAGGCGGCAAAGCTTTCAAGAGCTCTTCCGCTTCTGTGACTACCACATCATCAGTGCCCGCCAGGCGCCATTCTCTTCTTAGTCGCAAGCTCCGCAAATCTTGTTGACTCTGTCAAAGACAGTAACAGACCTGCCTGCTTTGAACCTCTGCTGCTTTGCTTTGCCCTAAACCCTAAACACTAAATAGCAGTTTCCGTTTCCTTTTTTCTTTTCCATTATCCCTACATAACCACTACACATACACACATATATATATATATATATTGATATACCGGTTTTACTACCGGGGCTCTTCTTCTCAGCAGCGGCAATCTCGGTGTGAATATCGGGATTGTGGATCAAGGGGCTGTCTAGATGGCAGGAATGTAGCAACCCCGAAATAAAAGACCTCGGTTGTCAGATGATGAGCTCATAGCCCCTGTCTCCGCTGCCATTTCTCAAGCTTTCTGCGGTATCAGCCATCATGGTGCGTCAAGACCTCAGCTGCTCGGGGTTTGAAGCTCTCTGTTTGGCCAGATTTTCATGCTTTTTGCTCTTCGCTTCTGATTCTGTGTTGTGCTGTTGCCTGCATCGTCCAGCAGCAGCCTACATCCAGGCTGTCGCGTCGTGATCAGTCCTTGAACATTCTGCAAGGGATGGGTGTAGCTGCCTTATACAGCACATGGGTTTCAAACGGGTAGCAAGACCGCAGGCCAAGCAAGCTGTCCTGGGGTGCCTCCAGTCTTTTCCAACTATGCAACATGTCAGACATAGAATTGGCATGCTGCGGCCTGGACAGCTGCAGATAAGGGGGCCCGACAGAAAAGCCGGGCATCCTAAACAAGGTTGAAGCTTCTGCTTCATTGTGCCATGAAGAACCACATACAAGGAGCAGCTTGGATTGGGCTTGTAAAAGAGGTGAGAATACGAACCGAAGCTGGCGTAGCGTGTCCATTCCTACCTGCAGAACATGAGTTCAATTGTCAATGAGTACCATTCTTCTCTGTTCCAAGGCTTTGCGCAGATTCTGCCTGAAGGCGGCGGGCCAGCTCGGTACGCGCTCCTCAAGGCAGGCAGAGCCACGAGAAGCACACGTATTCAGCAAATAGCCAGGCCCTAAACCCTAAACCCTAACCACTTTCCATGCTATTTTCCATTATCCCAATATAATCAATATAACCCCAGTAATACCCCAATGGGTGAGTCGGCAGTGGAAGCTTGGCTCTGCGAGGCAGATGGGCCAGCGCCTCGAAAGTGCTTGAGATGGCTTTTTGTCTAAGCCCTGCCCTGTTCAGTTTGAACATGAACTTGGACAGCCGTGCAGTGTGAGATTTCAGGTCCTTCACTGAAGCCGAGGGCTGTCCCTTTGAGGGCCTCAAAGACACGGGCCGCAAGGTGGGGGAACTACGAGAAGTGCAGCTCACTGCGATTGTATCCAGCTGGCAAGCACAAATCGCTCGTAAGCAGCTGCAAGACAGTGCGTACCTGTACATGTTACAGACGGCATCCGCACAAAACTTACACGTCACTGTTTGATCCCTGGAGGTGTCCGTTGGCCGTTTCCTGCCGCCTGTGAAGCCGCAGGACCGTCTGCTCCCGTGCGAATGCGGCGGAACGTGGCAATTGTTAGTACTTTGAGTATTTTTCCTTTTTTATTAGGATGATTACTGCGATTACTAAAGCCATGTGCTGAGAGATGCCAGGGAAGCTTGGTTTTTTTTAAAGCTTCGTGAACCAGCCTGGTGGAGCAGGACATTATTTGCATCGGTGCCCGACTTGGAGATGCTTTAAAGCACGCATAACAGAACCCCGCTTTCCTTACTGGTGGTTAGTAGGGAAAAAAGTATATAATCCATATATCATAATCTCTCTATATCTCCTGTATAATCCCTATATTACATATTCCCTTATTCCGAACTAACCCCCAGTATTCCTCCTTGAAATAGAGACTTGAAAGAGGCCTAAACTACCGGGCGCATGCCGACGAGCTGAAGCTGCCGTACCCGAAGAATCCAGTAGTTCCACACTCAGCCGAGCTGCAGACATGTGGATGTGTGTAATCGGTAGACATATGTAAATGAGTATGAATATATGATAGATAAAGATATACATGTACGTCTAGCTTTCAGGATGTTCAGCGCCGCCTGGGGCTTTTCCTAGGAGCCCCCCCCGCTATTGTAAGGTTTTCATGAAGCCGACGACCTGCGCAGCCGGTCACGGCGACGCGATAGCCAGGTTGCCCAGTTCACCACCACAGCAAGTGTTGCCAGCTGGCCGAAAGAAGGGTATATATATATATGATGCCCATATAGTCCCTATATAAACCCTGTATAATCCCTATATTACATATTCCGTTATTCCCACCTGGAGATTTCAGGCCAAGCCGCGGGTCACAGAGAAGATGGACTATGAGGCAGCGCTTTGTGACATATGCTGCCCTTTCTCATGCAGCAAAGGGTCGTGACAAAAGTAGGACAACAGAAGGCCTCTTAAAGCTCAGAGTGCTGCGGCTTGAGCAGATACTTTGAGTACATCTGTTGCATGCCCCAGCCATGATGCACACAAAACGCCACACTTGGGCCAAGTGACCTTTGTCACTTGCTGTTCCAATTTGTAAACCAACCATTACAGTTGATTCTGGCTCTCAAAGGGAAGCGTCCGCCAGTTACAAACAACTGCCTGTGCAGAGAAAATAGCAGAGAAACACGCCAATGCGGAGAAACTTGAAGCTCGATAAATTGAAGGGTTGATCAAGGGAAGGCCATGGTCTTGGACCCGTTGCTTCTTTCTGCAGCGGCTGTCTGTTTTTTTTTGTGGGCATGCTCGGCCGAAGAGGAGGAAGGTTTGCCTGCGGCTTCTGAGGAGGAAGGTTTGCCTG